CGAACTACTGGGCAAGAATTTTACAAAATTGATGAAAGACATCAACTCACAGATCCAAGGTGGGAGGATCGCTTGAGCCTGGGAGATGGAGGTTGCAGTCAGTCAAGAATGCGCCACTGTACTCCAGCCTGGGTAACAGAGAGAGACCCTGTTTCCAAAAAAAAAAAAAAGGCAGAATGTTGATAATTGCTAAAGCTACGTGTTAGGTATATATGGGTTCATTATGTTTACTTTATGTATGTTTGAAATTTAAAAAATACTGTATAAAGATATTTTTAAGTAACTGACACTAAATACTCCAAATAAAAGGCACATATTTTCTGATCTACAACTACATGCAACAACATGGTTGAATCTTATATGACGTTTAACAAAAGAACCAGAAACAAAAAAGTTTCTGTATGGTTTTATTTATTCTGAATAAGAAAACAAATAAAACTTATCTATGTCATTAGAAATTGGGGTAGGCCGGGCACAGTGGCTCATGCATGTAATCCCAGCACTTTGGGAGGCTAAGGTGAGCAGATCACCTGAGGTCAGGAGTTCGAGACCAGCCTGACCAACATGGTGAAACCCCATCTCTACCAAAAATACAAAAATTAGCCAGACACAGTAGCACGTGCCTGTAATCCTAGCTACTCGGGAGGCTGAGACATGAGAATTGCTTGAACCCGGGAGGCGGTGGTTAGAGTGAGACGAGATTGCGCTGCTACACTGCAGCCTGGGCCACAGAAGGAGACTCTGTCTCAAAACAAAAAAAGAAAAAGAAAAAAAACTAGGGTAAAAGTCACCCTTAGGAGAGTAGGGACTGGAAGGAGCCATGAGGAAGAGTCTCGGAGGCAGGTAGTATGTTGTATATTGAAATGGGTTTAGATAACACAGATGGGTTCAATTTCTGAAAATTCATAAAGCTTATCACTTATGATCTGTGGACTGTTCTATATAGATATTACACTTCACTGAGAGTTTTGGTAAAGTCAAAAATTAGCAGTCAGCATAAAAACAAAACCCAACTATATGCTGTTACAAGAGACATGCCTTAACTGTAAGCACACAAAAAGATGGAAAGTTACAGGATGAAAAGATACACTATATAAACACTAACCAAAGAAAGCTGGAGTAATCTCTACATCAAAGTAGCCATTAAGGCAAAAAGCATTGCTAGAAGTAAAAAAGGACATTTCAAGGTAATAAAGAGGGTCAAGTCACCAGAAGGATACAACCGTTCTAAATCTGCATGCATTTAATAATATAGCTTCAACATATATAAAGCAAAAATGACAGAACTGAAAGGAGAAATGGAAAAATCCACAGTCATTCAGTACAAGAAGCAAACAGTAAAGATATTAAAGATTGAATAGCAGGATTAACAAACTTGACCTGACATAGCTGAACTGCAGGATATGCACTCTGTTCTTTTGTTTGTTTGTTTGAGACAGAGTTTCACTCTTGTTGCCCATGCTAGAGTCTAATGGCACAATATCGGCTCATAGCAACCTCTGCCTCCCAGATTCAATCAATTCTCCTGCCTCAGCCTCCCAAGTAGCTGGGAAGACAGGCGTGTACCACCACGCCTGGCTAGTTTTTTTTTTTTTTTTTTTTTTTTAGTAGAGATGGGGTTTCACCATGTTGGTCAGGCTGGTCTCGAACTCCCAACCTCAGGTGATCCACCTGCCTCAGCCTCCCAAAATGCTGGGACTACAGGCATAAGCCACCATGCCTGGCCTTTTTTTTTTTTTTTCTTTTTTTTTTGAGATGGAGTCTCACTCTGTCTTGCCCAGGCTGTAGTGCAGTGGCACGATCTCAGTTCACTGCAGCCTCCATCTCCCAGGTTCTCCTGCCTCAGCCTCCTGAGTAGCTTGGATTACAGGCACATGCCACCACATCTGGCTAATTTTGTATTTTTAGTAGAGACAGGGTTCGCCATGTTGGCCAGGCTGGTTTTGAACTCCTGACTTCAGATGATCCACCCAACTTGGTCTCCCAAAGTGCTGGGATTACAGGTATGAGCCACCGTGCCTGGCCACTCTTTTCAAATATACATGAAGCATTTGCTAAAACAGACCAAATCATGGACTATAAAGCAAATCTCAACAAACGTCAAAGAAGGGAAATCATATAGAGTATGTTTGTATGTTCTCTGACCACAGTGAATTAATACGAAGCAATAATAAAAAGATAGCACGGGGCCAGACGCAGTGGCTCATGCCTGTAATCTCAGCACTTTGGGAGGCTGAGGCGGACGAATCACGAGGTCAAGAGATTGAGACCGTCCTGGCCAACATGGTGAAACCCTGTCTCTACTGAAAATACAAAAAAAAAAAAAAGCTGACCGTGGTGGTGCGTGCCTGTAGTCCCAGCTACTCAGGAGGCTGAGGCAGGAGAATCGCTTGAATCCAGGAGGCAGAGGTTGGAGTGAGCCAAGATCATGCCACTGTACTCCAACCTGGCAACAGAGCAAGACTCCATCTCAAAAATAAATAAATAAATAAATAAATAAATAATAAAAATATAACAGGGAAGTAAGCAATATATCTCTAAAAATTATCACTCAGGTCAAATTAGAAAATATTTTGAATTGATAATAATGGAAACGTGGCCAGGCATGGTGGCTCATGCCAATAATCCCAGCACTCTGGAGGTTGAGGCAGGCAGATCACTTGAGGTCAGGAGATCGAGACCCAGCCTAGCCAACATGGAGAAACCCCCATCTCTACAAAAGATACAAAAATTAGCCGGGTGTGGTGGTGCATGCCTGTAATCCCAGCTACTCAGGAGGCTGAGGCAGGAGAACCGCTTGAACCCAGGAGGTGGAGATTGCAGTGAGCCAAGATGGTGCCATTGCACTCCAGTCTGGGTGGCAGATCGAGACTCTGTCTCAAAAAATAATAATAGAAATGTGACATAACAAATGTGTCAAGTGTAGCTACAGAAGTTTTTAGAAGGCAAATGGTGGCTCTAAATGCATGTATTAGAAGAGATTATTAAAAATCAAATGACCTGGCTGGGCACAGTGGCTCACGCCTCTAATCCCAGCACTTTAGGAGGCCAAGGCAGGTGGCTCACCTGAGGTCAGGAGTTCAAGACCAGTCTGGCCAACATGTTGAAACCCCAACTCTACTAAAAATACAAAAAATTAGCCAGGCATGGCAGGGCATGCCTGTAATCCCAGCTACTCAGTAGGTTGAGGCAGGAGAATCGCTTGAACTCTAGAGGCAGAGGTTGCAGTGAGCCAAGATGGCGCCACTGCACTCCAGACTGGGTAACAGAGTGAAACTTGAGTCTCAAAAAAAACCATCAATGACCTAACGACCTAAAAATATCAGTGACCTAAGCATTCACCTCAAGAAGTTGGAGGGAAAAAGCTGGAAAAAGAACAGCAGATCAGGAGCTTGAGGGCACATGGCTGAAGTCCTACCTACTCAGGAGGCTGAGGTAGGAGGATTACTTGAGCCCAGGAGGTGGAGGCCACAGTGAGCTAGGGTCACATTACTGCATTCTAGCCTGGGTGAGACCCTGTCTCAAAAAGAGAGGAAGGGGGAGGGGAGGGGAGGGGAGGGGAGGGTACAGGAGGAAGGGGAAGGGGGAGGGAAGGAAGGGGAGCGGGAGTGGAAAGGAGGGGAGTGGGGGAATGGGAGAAGAGGAGGGGAGGAGGCGGGGAAAGGTAGGGGAAGGTACAGGGGAGGGGAAGAGGGGAGGTGGGAGGGGAAGAGACGGGAGGGGGAAGGGAAGGGGGAGAAGGGAGGGGGGGGAGGCGGAGGGAAGGGGAAAGGAGAGGGAAGTAGGGGGAGGGGAGAAAGGGGGAGGGGAGAAGGGGGAGGCGAGAGGAGAAGGGTAAACGGAGGGGAGGGGAGAAGAGAAAAGAGAGATGGCACAAATTATTAATATCCATCACCACATATCTTACAGATACTAAAAAGATTGGCTGGGCATGGTGGCTCATGCCAGTAACACCAGCACTTTGGGAGGCCAAGGTAGGAGGATCATTTGAGGCCAGGAGTTCGAGACCAGCCTAACATAATAAGACCGCATTTCTCCCCCTCCAAAAAAAGACAATATTATGAACTTTATGCAAATTATTTGAAATTTTAGATAAAATGGAAAAATTCCTTGAAAACCACAACTTACCAAAAATAAAATAGAGCATCTGAATAATTGTATTTTTATAAAAGAAATAGAATTTGTAATTTAAAGTATTTCCACAAAGAAAACTCTAGGTCCAGATGGCTGGTGACTTCTTCCAAACATATAAAAAATAAATAACATCAATCCTACACTAGCACTTCCAAAGAACAGAAAAAGAGAGAACACTTCTCCACACATTATATATCAGCATAGCCTTGTTAACAAAACCCAACAGGGATCTTACAGAAAAGAAAAGAAAAGAAAAGAAAATCTGGCAATATATAGAAAGGACAGGCCGGACACCGTGGCTCACGCCCGTAATCCCAGCACTTTGGGAGGCTGATGCGGGTAGATCACCTGAGGTTGGGAGTTCGGTACCAGCCCGGCCAACATGGTGAAACCCCATCTCTACTAAAAATACAAAAATTAGCCGGGTATGGTGGCGGGCGCCTATAATCCCAGCTACTCGGGAGGCTGAGGCAGAAGAATCACTTGAACCCGGGGGGCGGAGCTTGCAGTGAGCAGAGATTGCCCCACTGCACTCCAGCCTGGGCGACAGAGCGAGACTCCATCTCAAAAAAAAAAAAAAAAGAAAGAAATAGGGGACGGACAAGGAGTCTCTCAGTTAAATTCCCTCTTCCTCGGCCCATTTCACCGAAGCCTGAAGCCAAAGAGAACACGAGCCACAGCATGGCGGGCGCAGCCATCCCCGCCTTCCACCACCAGACAGAAACTCTCGGACCACCGCCCGCTGCGCCAGCGCGCATGCGTGGCACGCGACGGCAGCCGGTGTCCACCTGCGTCTTAGGAGGAGCCCGGACGGGGAGGGGCGGGGCTCAGACGCTGCGCACGCGCACTCGCGATCCCTCGCCTCCTTTTACTCTTTCTGGCGGGAAAAGCTCACGCACTCCTCCCCCAACTCAACTGCCGTTCGTCGTTCGTGGCCGTCGGTTGTGTCCCGAGACTAGGACGTGGCTCCAGGTGCGCCCTGCCCCGTGGCGAGGTTCCCCAGAGTGGCCCTTCCCAGCCCCTACCGAAATCCTAGTGAAGCCCCCCATATTGTGGGAGAGATTCCCCTGCGTCAGGACCCCCCAAATCCTATTAAAATCCTGACCAAGCAGGGCGTGGTGGCTCATGCCTATAACCCCAGCACTTTGGGAGGCTGAGGCGGGTGGATCTCCTAAGTTCGGGAGTTCGAGACCAGCCTGACCAACATGGAGAAACCCCATCTCTACTAAAAATACAAAAAATTAGCTGGGTGTGGTGGCAGTCGCCTGTAATCCCAGCTACTAGGGAGGCCGAGGCAGGAGAATCGCTTGAACCTGGGAGGCAGAGGTTGCGGTGAGCCGAGATCGCGCCATTGCACTCCAGCCTGAGCAACAAGAGCGAAACTCCATCTCAAAAAAAAAAATCCTGGCCGGGCGCGGTGGCTCAAGCCTGTAATCCCAGCACTTTGGGAGGCCGAGACGGGCGGATCACGAGGTCAGGAGATCGAGACCATCCTGGCTAACACAGTGAAACCCCGTCTCTACTAAAAATACAAAAACTTAGCCGGGCGAGGTGGCAGGCGCCTGTAGTCCCAGCTACTCGGGAGGCTGAGGCAGGAGAATGGCGTGAACCCGGGAGGCGGAGCTTGCAGTGAGCTGAGATCCGGCCACTGCACTCCAGCCTGGGTGACAGAGCGAGACTCCGTCTCAAAAAAAAAAAAAAAAAAAAAAAAAAAAAAAAAAAATCCTGACCACTTGGGAGGCCGAGGTGGGCAGATCACGAGGTCAGAAGATAGAGACCATCCCAGGGACGTGAAACCATGTCTCTATAAAAAAATACAAAAAATTAGTCAGGTGTAGTGGTGTGCAACTATAATCCCAGCTACTTGGGAGGCTGAGGCAGGAGAATTGCTTGTACGTGGGAGGCAGAGGTTGCAGTGAGCTGAGATCGTGCCATTGCACTCCAGCCTGGGTGACAAGAGTGAGACTCAGTCTCAAAAAAAGAATCCTGGCCGGGCGCGGTGGCTCAAGCCTGTAATCCCAGCACTTTGGGAGGCCGAGACGGGCGGATCACGAGGTCAGGAGATCGAGACCATCCTGGCTAACACAGTGAAACCCCGTCTCTACTAAAAAATACAAAAAACTAGCCGGGCGAGGTAGCGGGCGCCTGTAGTCCCAGCTACACGGGAGGCTGAGGCAGGAGAATGGCGTAAACCCGGGAGGCGGAGCTTGCAGTGAGCCAAGATCCAGCCACTGCACTCCAGCCTGGGTGACAGAGCGAGACTCCGTCTCAAAAAAAAAAAAAAAAAAAAAAAAAGAATCCTGACATCCCCTCAGAAATTCTGAAAGGAGTCCACCAGAAAATCTTATAGGTGACCCCCCGAAATCCTGTCAGAATCATCTAGAAGTTCTGTCAGACTTGTCCCTCAGAGCCTGCCAGAGACTTTCCCCAAGATCCTGTTACTCTCCCCAAATCAGCAGAGATGCCTGGACTTCTGTCAGAGATCCCCAGAAATCCTGGCAGGTCCCTCCCAAACCCAGTCAGACCTCAGATTCCCTCAGAGAGCCCAGAAGTCCATCAAAGACACCCCAGAAATGGAGACCCCGAAATGCAGTCAGAGAGCCCTGCAGAAATCAAGACCCCCCAAACCCAGCCAGAGACCCCCAGAAATCCAGAGACCCCCCAAAAATCAAGACCTCCAAAATCAAGCCAGAGACCTCCAGAAGTCCAGTCAGACCCCTGCAGAAATCAAGACCCCCAAAATCCAGCCAGAGACCCCAGAAATCCAGTCAGAGACCCCTGCAGAAATCAAGACCCCTAAAATCCAGAGACCCCCGAAGAAATCGAGACCCCCAAAATACAGAGACCCCAGAAATCAAAGCCCCCAGAATCCAGTCAGAGAGCCCCCAGAAATCCAGTCAGACCCCTGCAGAAATCAAGACCCCCGAAATCCAGCCAGAGACTCCTGAAATCCAGTCAGAGACCCCCACAGAAATCGAAATCCCCAAAATCCAGCCAGACACTCCTCAGAAATTCAGCCAGAGACCCCCCAAAATCTTGTCAGAGCCCTTGAAAGCCCTCCAAGGCACACACCACCCAGAGCTCCTGCCAGGGCCCCATCCTGCTTCAGTGTCCCCGTCCCAGTCCCATCAGACCCCCGAGATCAACCAACACCCTCAGGGTCCCTCAGGACTTCGTCCCAAACCCAGCCCGTGCGCCAGGGCCCGGCCAAGGCCATTGCCCCCCTTTGCACCCTGCAGGGTGTTCCAGACCCTGGAAGGGCGTCTCTTCAAAGACCTGTGTTTCCAGAACGTTCCAGAAGTGCACGGTGGCAGCGGGCCCACGTGGCTTAGGGAGAGCAGGTGCTGGGGAGCTGGGTGAGGACAGGTGAGCCCAGGCTCGACTGGTGGCCCCAAGGGGCGCCCATGCCCGCTGTGATGATAGCAGCACTCAGGTCTCTCTGTAGCTCCCAGAGTGCGGCCACTAAGACACTGGGTTGGCCTGGGTGGAATGGAGGCAGGATGGGGCCCCCCAAACTCCTGTCACTGCTTCAGTGACTGCCCAGAGCAGCCGCAAGTGGGGCTGGCAGGGATGAGGAGGAGGTGGCCTGGGCTTGGGGGACCGTGTACATTCTGAGTTGGAACCCAGGGGAGCAGCAGATTTGGGGCTGTGATGAGGAGAGACCTACGGGTTGCCCGATGGAGAGAAAAGGGACAGGAAGAGGCAGGAGCTTCAGAGACTACTCCATGCCACTCTAGCCTGAGGGACTGGAACTTAGTCCTGGGGCACTAGGGAGCCACGGGAGGGTTGGGAGCAGGGGGCGAAGCAAGATCAAACTCCCGTGAGAAGCCAGCCGGCCAAATCCAGGCTGATGTGGCAAGAACGGCAGCTGTCCAGGGCCGTGTGGGAGTCAGACACAGCCGCTCGCTTCCCGGAAAAGGCCACGCGAAGCCGAGGCAGGATGCAGGAGGGCGTCCCAGGCAGAGTCCAGCTCAGTGTGGCTGGAGCATCATGTGCGATTTGGGGTGCTGAGGTGGGCGGTCGGCCATGCAGGGCCTTGGCGTCAGGGCCAGGTCTAGCCCGTCCCCAGGGTTCGGGGAGCCATGCAGGGGTACTGAGCAGGGGAGGGGCAGGTTGGCTCTGGGGCCCTGTGGGGACAGACTGGAGGGCAAGCCTGGGGATAGGAGGCTGGGACAAAGGCCAGGGAAGAGAACCAGGCAGCCTGGGCCAGCGATGAGCCGTGTGAAGGAAGGGAGGCATTGACACCCTCCGACCCACCCACTAGCCGCTTTGATGTCAGCCGCCTCGTTCCCCAACCCACACCTCCAATCCATAAAACAGGTCGGAGCCGAGCTGCTCAGGTCCCAGCGGGGGTGGCAAACAGGTTGTGAGGATCCAGAGGTCCTGGAGCACAGGTGGGGCCAGGCAGGCCCCGACCCTTGGTGGCTGCTCCGAGGACACCATTCCCCTGCTTCTCCTTCCAGGAGTGCGCAGGGCAGCTGGTCCTTTTCCGTCCCTCCCTGTGAAGGAGGGAGGCTGGTAGCTTTGCCAGCAGCTGCGCAGCAGCAGGGGTGGCCCATGGACCTGCCCGAGGGCCCGGTGGGTGGTCCCACTGCGGAAAGTAAGTGACTGGGACCCTGTTTGCCCCAGGGAGGGTGAGGAGGGAGCCATGGGTGAATGGGCACCAGGCTGTGACTCGGGGACTTGGGAGAGGTGACTGAGGGTAGCTGAGCCTTTGCATGAGTGCAGGGTGGAAGGGAGGGAAGGGACTCTGGTGGATTAAGTGCCTACTGTATGCCCGCCCACCTGTCTGTACCCCTTATCTCCTGTGGGGAGGCTGGACTGTGTGAGAGCACAAGCAGCCGCACCCCTTACTCCTCTCAGATCACTGCCCAGATGGTACTTCTTACTTATGTAAAGCAGTTGCCCTGTGACACTCTCTCCCCTGCCCTGCTTCACTTCTCATAGTGCTCACATCTGTCATGTTTTGTCTCTGCCTCCCCCACTAGAGCATGAGCTCCACAAGGCAGCGTCTGTTTTATTCACTCTGGTATTCCCAGTCCCTAGAGCAGCGCTGTCCTGTGGAAGTACAATATGAGCCACGTATGTAATTTAATAGTTTTTAAAAGAAAAAAGGAACAGGTGAAATGAATGCTAATAATAGATTTTCCTTATATACCCAGAGTAATACCCTCTATATTATATATATACAGGTATATTATATATATAAAATATATCCAGTCTATAGCCAATATAAAAATGTATTCAGATATTCTCTTTTTTTCATATTAAGTCCTCAAGATCTAGCGTGTACTTTACACTAACAGAGCATTTCAATCCACACTCGCCTCAGCTGAGGTGCTCCGGAAGGAGAGACTGCCCTATTGGTTGGGACCCCAGAGCAACTCCTGACTCATTGTAGGCGCTCAGTTACTGTTGAATGAACGGATGGATACAGGCTGAATGGGTGTGAAAGGCGGCTTCAGGGGGTGGGGAGGAGGCACTGGCGTTGCCTCTCTGAAACTCATCTGCCAAGTGAGAGAACCCAGTCTGATGGGGATGGCAGGGCCCCTTTCTTAGAGGCTCCCAGGCATCCACAGCACAGCCTGCGTCTTTTTCTACGAAGCCCCAGGCCTCAGGAAGTTTTCCAGATAGGAGGGTCAGAGGCAGACACCAGGGTGTGGGAACCAGAGGACAGGCCATCTAAACTTCACCTGCACCAGCAGAGGGCGTGCAGCCACCGGGATCTGGGTGGCAAGGGCTGAGCCAGCTTCCAGAGTCTCCGGAAGGAAAGGTAGGAACACACCCAGAAGGAGAGGTGGAGACAGAGGAAGGCAGAGGGAAAAAGAAAGAGCAGAGGAAGGAAATAGAAGGCTTAGGGAATGGAGAGTGGCTGAGATATGGGAAGGGAAGCACAGAGACTGAGATACAGGAAAGAAAATGGGGACAAGGGACATGGAGGCACAGAGACAGGACATGGGGAAGAGAGACTGGGAGAAAGATAGAAAGAGCCAAAGAGAAATGTAAAGAAGAGGCAAGGACAGAGACATAGAGGAGAGAGAGAGACACAGAGGAAGGAGATCTTTCTCAGGAACAGGAATGACATCTCCCTGGGGGAATCCTGGGATGTGACTTCAGACACATGCTGATCCTCAGAGCCAGCACGACCTGACGCCAGTCCTGAGTTCTATTCCCAGCTTCGCTCGCTCTGGCAAGCCCCCCTGGGTGAACGATCTCATTGGGCCTCACGATCCTTGTTCATGTAACATGAGAACGACAGTGAGGGGGCTGGGTATGGTGGCTCACGCCTGTAATCCCAGCACTTTGGGAGGCCAAGGTGGGCGGATCACTTGAGGTCAGGAGTTCAAGACCAGCCTTGCCAAAAGGGTGAAACCCCATCTCTACTAAAAATACAAAATTAGCTGGGCCTGGTGGCAGGCACTTGCAATCCCAGCTACTCGGGAGGCTGAGGCAGGAGAATTGGTTGAACCCCAGAGGCAGAAGTTTCAGTGAGCGGAGATTTCGCTACTGCACTCCAGCCTGGGTACCACAGCAAGACTCCATCTCAGAAAAAAAGACAGCGAGAGGAGGAAAACAGACTGGGGCTAAAGCCCTGGTCTTCCCTAACTGTGAGTTCACACGCCCCTTCCCAAGGGCCAAACCCTAGGAGCGTGGGTTCAAGCCAGAGGGAATGTAAATGTCATGTACTGCGAAGAACCCAGGAAGAGCTAGAGGGATGAGAAAGTTGACTCATATGTTAAACAGGGTGACCTTTGCTGAGTTCTTAGTTTCTCTATGCTTTGGTCCCCTCATTTGTAAAGTAGGGATTATAATAGCATCGATTATTAATATGCTACTAGACAGTTCATGTAAAGTGCCCAGAAAAGGCCAGGCACCTACTAAATGCTCAATAAGTGTTCAATTCTATTCTTGAGTCCCCACCACATGCCAGGCCCTCTGCCAAAGCCCTTCTAGATTTTATCTCATTTTCTCTCTAGGAAAGAGGTAACACCAACCCCATTTTCCAGAGGAAGAAACCGAGGCCCAAGAGAAGTTGAGTCCATTGCCCCCAAGTGCCGCCACTTGTCTGAGGCCAAGCCTTAGTTACCCCTTGGATCTACCCAGTCCTGCAGCCTGTGCTCAGTGAGCTGCTGCACCCAGCTGTTCAAGGCCAGGGCAGGGAGCCTAGAAGGTCACTTCCCAGCCCTGGGAGGGAGGCTGGGCCAGTCCCAGTGGCTTCTGCAGTTGAGGATCTCTTCCTATGTCATGGAGCATTTGTTGAGCACCCACTATGTGCAGGTGTTGTGGCTACAACAGTAGACAAATAAACCCCAGGACGTGTGTGTGTGTATGTGTGTACACATGTGTGCTTCACATACACAGAGCTAACTCAGCCCTGGTGAGGAGGATCACTCTACCCACCCACCCCCCATTTACCAGTAGGGAAACTGAGGTTCTGAGAGAACAGACTTGCCCACAGATGTGCAGCTGGACTCTGCACCCAGGTCTATGTGACACACGCATATGGTTTGATCCAGCTCATAGCCATTCCCTCACTGGCCCACCCTGCCTGGTTTACCCCATCCCTTCATGTCTCAGCCCCCCGGCCATGGGCTCCAATGATGCCAGCCTCGCCTTAGGGATGCAGGGAGGAGAGAGACCTGGTCCCCAGGGTGGGCTGGGAGACCGGAGATGCAGCAGGCGGGATCGATCTGGGCTGCCCACGCATTATTGGATTGTTCCTGGCTCCTGGGCCCCCCTTCACTCTCAGCTCCTCCCAGAATCCTCTCTTCTTTGCCCTCCCCCGCCCTGTCCTTTTCTGAGTCCAGCCTGGAGGCTGGAGAGGAGAGGAGGAAAGGGTGATCTCAGAGTGTCCTTCTCTGGGCTCCTAAGCCAATTGGACACAAAAAGACAGCCGGGGGGACTTCCTGGTCTGAAAGATGGGGGAAGAAAACTCAGAGACCCTTACGTTGTTGCCCCCTCCTGAAGCTTCCTGCTGTTTCCCCCGCTGGCCCTAACTCTAGGTGCTCTGAGTGAATTCCCTCCCTCTGCAGAGCCCAGGAGGCTGAGGACCTGGGGTCACCCCTCTTCCTTCCTCATTCTTCTCACTGATGAGCTGAACCCTCTTGTCTCCCCAGTGTACCTCTGGGAGCAGCCTGAGGAGACAAGGCTGGGGATGCCGGTCAGCTTGGAGGAGCAAATACTCAACTCCACATTCGAAGCTTGTGACCCTCAGAGGACAGGTGTGGGGCAGGAGGGTGCTAGGGACCAGCGCGGGCGGGAGAGGGGTGGAGGCTGGGAACTGGGGAGCCTCAGGGAGAAGACTGGGCTAGGGCCCCTCTTGGGGGTATTGCCAGGAACAAAGTAGGTGATTTTGGGAAGCTTCAGGAAGAAGAAAGTGGATAACAGAGTGAAGGCCTTTTAGAATGAGAAAACCTGGGGGACATTGATGGAAGAGGGTAGAGTTTTGGGGTCGTGGGATGGGGAGGAGGCAGCCACCATGGTGGAGTGGGGCATGGCTGGTGCTGTCCCCATGTCCATCCCCTTTGGTTCACCTTGTGATAGGGGGATGACTGGGCCCCATTTCCAGGTGAAAAAGTAGACTCAGAGGAGGGAAAGGGCTTGCCCCAGTGTGTCTCCACTGGGCTATGGAGCAGGAGTGCCACCAGCCTAGCCAGTGGACATCCTGCTCCCAACTGCTGCCATCCATACCACCACTTCCCCACTTGCCCCAGACCCCCTCACTGCATGCTCTGTCCCAGGCACTGTGGCTGTGACCCCAGGTGCTGGGCCTACCTGGAGGCGGTGACAGGCCAGGGCCCCCAGGATGCCACGCCTCCAAACATTGGCCAACAGCCTGGACCCCAATGGGGAGGGCCCTAACCCACTGTGGACTTGGACACTTTCCTGGTTGTCATGCGTGATTGGATTGCTGCCTGTCAACTACACGGGTGAGTCCCCCACACCTTCATTCTCCTCTGGGAAGTCCCTTCCTAAGATCTAACCTCATACCTGCTTACTGGAGCCAGCATCCTTTAGGGCCCAAGGACCTACTGTGTTTGGAACGAGGCTGTGGAGAGAAAAAATGAAGAGATGGGATTCAGAGGGGTAGATAGGGAGTCTGAGGACAAAATAATTTGGATGAGGAGGCCAGAGGGGTCTGGGAGACAAATAAAATGGGGCTGGAGAAGGGAGGGGGCTTGGGGCTGGCAGAGGTCCTTCGCCATCCTTCACCCAACCCACTCCTTGCCCCTCCTGCTTTTCCATCTGGCCGGCAGGCACTTGCCATCTGGCCTCACCCTCCTACCTGTGGTGCCAGCTTTCACCTGAACCCGGTCCCCTCCTCCCACCTGCAATCCCCCTGCCTGTGGCTGGTGAGGACTGAGGGGCGGCTACAGTGGGGCTCTAAGCCTCATCCCTTTGATACAGGGGATTAGAGCTGGAAGAGGAGACCGCCTTCGAGGGAGCCCTGACCTCCCAGCAACTGCCATCTGGTGAGATTGCTATATATAGAATGAAGCAGGCAGGCCCTGGGTCAGACAGTGTGGGAACTTACCACTCAGGGCAGAGCAAGGGATAGGGTGGGAACCAGGGACCTTTACTGTAGCCTAGAGCTGTGAGTGTGACTTTCTAGGTCCTCCGTCCCTTCCTTCCCTGAGCTTTGGGGTTTTTTTCTTCAGAGGATGGTTTCCAACTCTTCCTCCTCACACCAGCCCTATCAGAGAGGCCTACAAGGCCCCACCTACCTCTGCTCCATCATCATTAACATCACCCCTTCCTCACTCTAGTCCAGGCATTCGCAGGCCCACTGGTCTTGCTGCCCTTCCTCGAATGTGCCCCACTTCTGCCCAGCACAGGCCCTTGCTCAGGCTGTTCCCCTCCATTCCTCACTCCCCAACCCCCTAGCCTTTTTTTTTTTTTTTTTTTGAGATAGAGTTTCGCTCTTGTTGCCCAGGCTGGAGTGCAATGACGCGATCTCAGCTCACCGCCACCTCCGCCTCCTGGGTTCAAGCGATTCTCCTGCCTCAGCCTTCCGAGTAGCTAGGATTACAGGCATGCGCCACCACGCCCAGCTAATTTTGTATTTTTCATAGAGACGAGGTTTCTCCATGTTGGTCAGGCTGGTCTCGAACTCCCAACCTCAGGTGATCCACCTGCCTCAGCCTCCCAAAGTGCTGGGATTACAGGCGTGAGCCACCGCTCCAGGCCGTTATCCTTCACACCTCTGGCAAAGGGGAAGCCCTGGTATGCCCCTGGCTAGAGTTCCCTGCTTCCCATGCTCACTCCTAGACTTGTAGGCCTTTCCATTGGAACATCTACCTGCAAAGGAAATCTGATTATCTAGTTAGCCACCGGTGCCTGGGTTTAGTTGGCTGGTTTGCTCACCATTATATCCCCAGGACCTCACACATAGGAGGTGCTTCATAAAAAAGTGGTCATGGACCGGGTGCAGTGGCTCACTCCTGTAATCCCAGCACTTTGGGAGGCCGAGGCGGGCAGATCACGAGGTCAGGAGATTGAGACCATCCTGGCTAACATGGTGAAACCCCGTCTCTACTAAAAATACAAAAAATTAGCCAGGTGAGGTGGCGGGGCCTGTAGTCCCAGCTTCTCGGGAGGCTTCTCGGGAGACTGGCATGAACCCAGGAGGCGGAGCTTACAGTGAGCCGAGATCACGCCACCGCACTCCAGCCTGGGCGACAGAGCAAGACCCCGTCTCAAAAAAAAAAAAAAAAAAAAAAAAAAGTGGTCATGATTACAGCCGTGAGCCTGTAATCCCAGCATTGTGGAAGTCCAAGGTGGGAAGAACATTTGAGCCCAGTAGTTTGAGACCAGCCTGGGCAACATAGTGAGACACCATCTCTACTAAAAATAAAAAATTAGCTGAGTGTGGTGGCATGTACCTGTGGTCCCAGCCGGGACACTGAGACAGGAGGATCACTTGAGCCTGAGAGGTTAAAGCTGCAGTGAGCCGTGATTACACCACTGCACTCCAGCCTGGGCAATAGAGCAGGATCCTGTCTTTTAAAAAAAAAAGGTGGTCATGTTCCATTTCTCTAGCCATACAAAAAACGGTGGGAGGGAAGGAAGTTCTCTTCAACCTCCTTCATCAGGCTTAGGGGCCCAGGGAGGGCTGCGAGCAGAGGAGGGACTAGAGGCCAGGAGGCCAGAGAAGAGGTTGTGGTGAGGGTCCAAGAGGAGAAAGCAAGGGCCGGGGTGTGGAGACAGAGAGGACGGGTGGAGCAGAGAGTCAGGGGCAGGAGGAAGAAGCCTGCGCTCTGCTGGACTGGGGGTGACAGGGAGCAAGGGAGCCAGGTCCGCCCAGTGGCTGGGTGGTTGGTGGGGATCTGGGAAGGGGAAGGTGAAGTGCTGACCAGTGTTGGGTGTAAAGAATGTGGGGGTTGGGGTTATCTGGGAGATCCAGCCTGAGCTCAAGGTAGAAGACAAGGAAGAGGGCTTTACAGTGGGTATAACTGCAGCCCCAAAAGCCCATGAGATCCTCCAGAGCACAGACGAGGGTGGAGCCAGACAGAGACCAATCTCATAGCCCTGGGGCACCTTACATTTAAGGGTAACAGGGAAGCCAACACCCTCTTGTCTGTCTCCCTCCAGGATGCCCAGAAGCTGAGGAGCCAGCCAACTTGGAGAGCTTCAGCGACGAAGACCCCAGACCTGAGCTGTACCTATCCTCACAGCCCTCCCTGACCCTCCTGCCCACGCCCTGTCCCCTCCAGCCTGCCGAGGCCTGGGTAGGGCTTGGCATCCTTCAGGGAAATGAGTGAGGGACGGAGTTTTGCCGAAAATTCAGGGAGAGCAGAGGAGTCTCTCTCCTGTTTCTCTCTCCCTAAAAGAGCCACATCTCCCCACCACCAGCACCTACCTCAACCTGGGGAAATGAGGCAGGGGCTGTGGACAGTGACCTGAACCCCTTCCTTGCCCCTAGGCAAGCCACAGCTGACCTGCTGAGCAGCCTGGAGGACCTGGAGCTCAGCAACCAACGTCTGGCTGGGGAGAATGCCAAACTCCAGCGGAGCGTGGAGACAGCTGAGGAGGGGTCGGCACGCCTTGGGGAGGAGATCTTGGCTCTGCGCAAGCAGCTTCGCAGGTGGGCTCGACCCCACATCCACCCTCCCCAGCGCCCCTGCCTCCATCCTGCCTGCAGCACCTGGCCTCTATCTCCCATGCTCGCTGTCTGCATCCTGCTCCGTCTTTGACTCTGTACCTGTCCTTTCTTTTCCCTTTTCTGTTTTTCATCTTTTGTGTCTCTCTGGTTCTTATCTCTCAGCCTGTTTTGGTCTTTTTATCTTTCCCTGGAGGAGGGTTCAGACTTCTCTCTCTCTCTCTTTTTTTTTTTTTTTTTTTGAGACAGAGTCTCACTCTGTCACCCAGGCTGGAGAGCAGTGGGCGTGATCACAGCTCACTGTAACCTCTGCCTCTGGGCTCAAGCGATCCTCCCACCTCAGCCTCCCAAGTAGCCACAGGCCCACCACACTGCCTGGCTAATTTTGTTTTATTTTTATAGAAATGAGGTCTCACTGTGTTGCCCATGCTGGTCTCAAACTCCTGGGCTCAAGCCATCCTCCCGCCTTATCATCCCAAAGTGCTGGAGTACAGGCCTGAGCCACTGCACCCAGGCCAGATTTCTCTCTTTATTCTTTTCCTCTCTCTGATTCTTCATGTCATTTGCCCTTTCGTCTCTCTGTGCTTTGTCGTTCTTCATGTTTATCATGGTCTCCCTGTTCTGGTCCCCCACTCTCTCTAGGTCTCTTTCCCACCTCCTCCTCTTTTAGGTTAAAACTGGGTCTCTGTGCCCCCACCAGGTCTCTTTCTCCTCCCCTCTCTCTGGGTCTCTGTCCCTGCCCACCACCTGGGATCTCTCTGTTGTTAGTGTCTCTCAGAATGGATCTGTCTCTGTGCTTCTCTGCCTTCCTCTCTCTCATATGGCTCATCCACCCCCACCCCCATTCAGTACCCAGCAGGCTCTGCAGTTTGCCAAGGCCGTGGATGAGGAGCTGGAGGACCTAAAGACTCTGGCCAGGAGCCTGGAGGAACAGAATCGCAGCCTTCTGGCCCAAGCCCGGCAGGCGGTGGGTCTGACCCAGGGGAAAGAAGGTGCCCTCTCTTTGTTTCCTGGAGTCAGAGCGGCAGTGTGACTATGGAGTAGGAGGGGGCAGAGGCCACCTGGCTTTCTCCCTCTCTCCAGGCCCTGCTCACCCTAGACTTTTTCAATCTTACCTGCCATCCTTCTCATGACAAAGGAGACAGCAGGAGCCATTAGGGCTTCCCAGACCCATTACCCCAACCCTGTCCTTCAATGACCCAGGCCCTGGTTGTGTTCTCAGGGGTGGGAGAAGGGCAACATGGGGCAAGGAGGCTGGAAATGAAGCCTTTGTCCTCTCTCTGGGGTTGGTCAGGAAAAGGAGCAGCGCATCTGG